TATTTTATTATAATCAAAGAAATTTATTACTCCCTTCATCGTGAAATGAAGTTATCGGGTTGATCGACCTACACACATATGTATGTAGGGTGGAGTTTTATTTTGACCTTTCAAGTATATCCTTACTTTATTTCAAATCAAGAAAAATGTAGATAAAAGGTAAGGGTAATTGTGACTTTTTGCGTAAAAACGGTTTCCTTTGATAGAAATGAGAACTTATTTTTGGGAATTGAGACGTCCATGAAAAGAAAGCAAGAACTTCTTTTCGGGACGAATGTAGTATAATATACGTACTATATTTTAATGAAAGTTGAACAAATAATATTATAGGCTTTTAAATGGATAAAAAGGGGAAATTTACTATTAACCCCCTGAGGTTATATCATAATCATTAATACAACCTTGCATTTTAAAAAATCAATTACTTACCCACTGAGTTTGGATCATTCTCGTTCTTTGCCTCCCTCACGTTAATATTTGTTAAATTTAAATTTAATATAATTCTTAAATTCAATTTAAAATGTCTATAAAATTAATTTTTAATGTAAAACACAAATTAGTATCATAATTATAAGTCATTGTTGTTGATCGTAGTTAATAAAAAATTTAAAACACAAATTAGGTCTTAGATTGACAACTTTCAATTATTGAGATCATGGAATTGGAATAATCATCACACATTTTGTCTTTTAGGCCCCTTATTGATACTAAACCTATATTTTAGGTCATGGAATGATAACAAAATCTTAGTATTTCTTCTTTGTTACACACGAAAGAAAATGTCATTGTGATTAATTCAACCGAATGAAACACAAATAAGACTTGTATATTCATAATGAAGAAATGCCTAGAATTTTGATAACACGTTTTATAAACAATTCTTTTTATGTATCCCATGAATATGACCCTTGAGTCTTCCCCTTAACTACTCTCATTAATTGTTACTCCACGATCGAGTAGTTAAGTAGAAAACAAATGGTCATCAACAATGACTTATAATTATGATGATAAATGATTTTATATTTTAAAAAATAATTTTAAATACAAATTTCATTGAACTTAAGAGGTATATTAAATTTAATTTAACAAATATTAACGTGAGGGGGGTATATAGTGAGAATGATCAAAACTTAGGGGGAAATTAATTGATTTTTGAAAATGCAAGGTTGCATTAATAATTATGATATGATCTCAGGGGCTAATAATAATCCCCCCCAAAAAAAACTAGCTATAAATTTGGACAAGAAAAAAAAATTATTGAATTGATTAAAACACCCTTAATTAAAAAGATACCAACTCTCCCCGATCTTACATGCTTCTCCCGGGTAGCGAAATTCTCCTTTCCTTTCCACCATGCTACACCTCTGTCGCTTACTCTCATTGTTGCCGCCACATCTTACTCTCGTCGTTGTCGGTGCCTCTTACAGTCATCTCCTCCTCCTCCTCACATGATCATCGCTGCCCTCTATCCCCTGATTTCCACTCAAAGTGTCACTATCGACGCCACCAACCCAAGGTCATAATCATCGTCATCGTTGTCCAATTTCATTTTCGCTATCGCCCAGGTTCATCTTCCTCATCTTACTATTCTTCTCCTTCTGTCTTCTTCTCATTAATCAATTATTTATTCTATCCGATTTGTAATGGCTAGGGCGAATGATGGTGGAGATGGCTAACATACAACGACTAGATTTTGGCGGCTAGGTAATATATGGTGATGGCAATAATATGTCGAGCCGACGCCGGTAGACTTGTGTTTGACGACAAAGGTTAAAGGTTTTGATTTGGTTGAGAATCCAAGACAATCGAGGTGGGGCGACAGCTACACCTTGGTGATGACTAGGGTTTCCGAGGCGGGGTAGTGGGTATGGTCCCACACGGGACTAGATGGGTCTAAGGAGGGGGGTGGTGGCAGTGGCTAGGGTAGTGATCGGGGATGTGCAAATCTGATGGTCGAGGGGCAACACAACAACAGTGTAACTAGATGGGGTGGCGGTAGTCACTGACCAAAGTGATAGTTGTCATTGGTTGCGGCGGCAGTCCATAGTGGCGATGGTCACTGACGGTGGCAGGGGTTCACTTTTCGAGGTGGATGATCACTAAGTGGGGTTGTGGGTTAGTGGCTAAGACACTGGGTCACCGAGACATTGTAGTGATGGCTAGAGCGTGGAGCGAGGTTATTGTAGTAACGAGTGATTAGGGCGACACAGCCAGGGGCATTGGGAGTCACTAGTGTGAGTTAGTCAATGGGCATTGTAGTCACTAGACATGTGTCACTAGACAATGCGAGTTGGTATCATTCATTTTTTGAGTTTCCAGTTTTAGCACTTATATATAGTCATTTTTTGGAAACTCAAAAGAACACTTTTTGTGTCCCAAATCGATATTTTATTAATATTAATACAAAAATCCGTATTATAATTTATAGTACCATGTATTTACATTGATTTATGGTTGTTATATTCTAAACTACTAACTATACAAAAATATATTCTAAAGTACTAAATTTAATACAATTATATTTAGCTTCTCTATCTTCATTTTGGTTAAGAATAATTCACAAGTTTTGTTTTAGTTTTAAAAATTCAGCTAACTATGCTATGTCAAATATCCATATACGTGTTTTTGAAAAAAAACTAGGTGTACACAAACAATGTAAGCTTTTTGCCTATATACAAATAACTCATTTTAAAAAGGTAGAAGTTGTCTCCATGCACAAGAGTGTATACATCAATGATTGTTCTATGTTTTGTTTATTAAAGAGTTGCTATACTTTAATGTTTTTCATATTTTATAGGGAAAATAGAAACTAATAATCCAACATTTTAGCGGGCTTCTTATAAATAGTTCCATCTTTTGATTATTTAGGAATAATCCAACCTTTGCACCCCATCTTCATTCAATGGTCTCCGACCAGTTGATGACCTGCTATTTCAAGTTATTTTCTTATCTTTGCAATATATTATACCATAAATCTCACCTTATGGTCACATAATATTTTGCAAAGATAAGAAAATAATTTGAAATAGTAGGTCATCAACCGGTCAGGGACCATTGAATGAAGATGAGATGAAAAAGTTGGATTATCCGTGAATAATCAAAAGGTGAGACTATTATAAGAAAACTGCTAAAAGGTTGGATTATTAGTTTCCATTTTCCCTATTTTATATTTATATACTCCGTATTTTGTATTCTTTAATCCCATAAAGTACCTAAAAAGCTTATTATAGTAAAAATAAATATCTATAAACTTTTTTTACAAGTTTTATTTATTCATGGATTTTTTCAATTAATTTTCAGGATCCAATAAAAGTCGAGAGATAGTAGTTGTGATTGTTAACCACATATACTTATTTTTGATTTGACTAAACATGTAGCATGTCATGTAGGATTACTATTGGCGAAAGGTCTCTAAAATTAAAATTATTTTAAAATAATGCTGGAGATTATTATGAGCGGATTGACAATAATTAAAATTATTAATACATATGGAGTATTAATATCATTAATTTTTAATTTCCTTTGTTATTGAGAAGATGAGCGGAGAATGTAGATTTTTTTACTAAACTAGGATAGTTCAAAACTTTTGAAAAATACCTTATTTTGAAAAATAAATTTAAAAGTGCTTATACCGTGGAACCGGTGCATGATGAGCACCATGCACCCTTTGTTATTTTTTATTTCTCCTTTTCTTAAAATTGTTAATAATTTGTTTATTTTTGATCCGATATTTATAAAATTTATATCAAAATTTTTTATTTTTCATGATCTTTCAAATGAGACCAATATTGCCTATGTAATTTTAACATATTAACATTTGCTGTAAAATATATGTAACTTTATGTGTTAAATTATGTAACTCACGTTCAGTCAGGCCAAATGCAACTCGTGTGTATAAATATGTAACTCTACGTGTAAAAAAATGTAACTTTACGTGTAAAAATATGTAACTTTACGTAAAAAAATATATAACTCGCGTTCAGACAGGTCAAATGCAACTCGTGTGTATAAATATGTAACTCGCGTGTATAAATATGTAACTTTAAGTGTAAAAATATGTAACTTTATGAAAATAATTATTTAAAAAAGATATTTTTTTGTTTCAATAACAGGAGTTGATTTTTTAATGTAACTCATGTTATTACAAATGTAACTCGTGTTGATGACAAATATAACTTAGATGTATACAGAATGTAACTTGTTGAAAAATTAAACAATTTTTTTTTTGTGTGTGTTTGAGAATAATATATATGTCATAAACATTGATTTCAATGAAAACAATGAAAAATTGATCCTAATAGCTTAATTACTTTTTAAAAATTGTGAATATGTTTTATGTTTAATATTAAGTCTTTAAAAATGATATAGCAGGGGTTTATTTCGTGGTGTAACTCACATACATTAAGATGTAACTCGCGTATATTAAGATGTAACCCGCGTACAATAAGATGTAACTCGCGCAGAAGAAGATGTAACTTCATGATATATTATCAAATGTAACTTCAAAATAATTTGTTAAAATTACATAAGCAATATTGGTCTCATTTGATAGATCATGAAAAATAAAAAAATTTGATATAAAATTTATAAAAATCGAATATCAAATAAAAAAGTTATTACAATTTTTAACAATAAAATAAATAAAAAATAATGGAATGAAGTCACTGCACGTTGCATAGTTTTGAACAAAACCACTGCATGCTGCGTCGTTTTGAAACCGGGCGCACCATCCTTATGATGCGGTTGTTGCACGGTATAAATTGCCCTATAGTTTGGGAAATACGGAGTAAGTTGTAGATCTATCTCGTTGAAATCTCTGAGATTGCAACTTATTGTTCCTAAGGAGTAAACAGGAACATATGATTGGAGATGCAAGCTTAGTAATAATAATTTAGTTAAAATATATTTTAGTTTATTATATGTTCTCTGTATCTCAGCTGTGAGAAAATTCTTTAAAAAAGGAGTAATGAAATCATAAATATGATTCCATCTTGCTTACACGAAAAAGTAAATCAAAAGAGCAAAAAATAAAACAATTATTCCATATTTTTGTGTGGATGTCCTCACGGGAGCTCCCAGTATCTTACCTCTCCCTTCCCGATCCACCAATCGCTCCCCCCTCTCTTCTTCTTCGTCCTCAACTGTTTTGATCTCCTAAGCTCTATTTATCCATATCTCTCTTTACTCATCCCATTCTAAAAGTTTCTATATCTGTATATTTATGTATGTTCGTCTGTATAGATTGTATGTGTTTTATAAGTATAGGCTGAGCTGTTTAAAGTTTATGTAATTATCATTGTACTCAGTCAGTGTATGGAATTGTAAGCTTAGAGGGTTTTTCGAGGGTTTTTGTGGTTTAGTGTGTTATACGATCTATTTGGAGATTTCTGGCATGGAATTGGGTTATTAGCTTGGACTCGAGACTTGGGATCGGATTAAGCATGGTGGGAGCAGAATACAACTGCGGGCCTACCTACTTGCAAAAATTCAGGCTCTATGAGACGCGCTCGGTATATGTTTCGTATCGTTTTTTACTTTCTTTGGAATGTACACAATTAATCGAGGGTTTAGGATTTGTTCTAAAAAACCAGACTTTATTTGATCTCCCATAAGATTTTTTTATCCGTTCTCTTATGCATATGTTCGAGGGTCAACTAGGATATTTGGAGCAGTATGATCATGCCTGTTTTTTTATGGGAAAGGTGTTTGCTTTTATGCTAGGCAGAATGTTTCCAGTTCATGGAATAGTTATGGATTTCATTGCTGAGAAATCTGGAATTTTAAGGATTTACTTTTAACTGTGGCGCTTGGCCAACAAGTTAATTCTAGCGTGTTTGACCGAGTGAGATTTTAGGATGTTTTTACTTGGATTGTTTTCAGTCCTAGACTAGAGTTAAACAGATCAAACCAGACTTCCATAGTTATAAAATACACAAAGACCATACATTTACGACCAGACCAACAAATTTCAGTCCAAGTAAAAACATTCTAAGATCCGGATGAGGGAATAAAAGTAGCAGTGTCTGCATGTCCGTAAGCTTTATGATCACTATTTTTTTGGCGTTCATCATATTCTTGCTAATCCCAACAGTTGGCTAGAGAATGATTGGAAATTATGCGCAATAAGTCCTACCCAAGCTGAAGGGATTCTGGCAGTCTGCCTACTTGATGAAACATATAAAAATGTATTTAATTTGATTACTTATGATTCAATATGTGCTTACAGGATCTTAAAGTTTTGGTTTTACTCACGTCCAAATGTGGCTTCTGGATTGTTTCTTATATACAATTTAGCTGATTAAAATGTATGCATTTTTATTATAACTGGTTCACAAAATTTGTATGGGTGTGTTAATTGCCATTTGCCATTTGCCGTTTAGCATTTGCCAATTTACCGTCTCACAAAATATGCCATTTGCCATTTAGCCTTTTAGCATTTGCCAATTTACCGTTTAGCATTTCACAAAATATATCCCTTTATATGAAGGGATAAAAATGAAAACGGGAAAAAATCCATTTGTCAATTTACCGTTTCAATGAATCTTTGGTGCTGATTTATGGTTTGTGTAGTGCTCTCAATTTCAGTAGACAGATAGTAACTGTGAATCCTTGTGTTGAATAGAACTTTTATATGATTGGGCGGGATAAGACCCGAACATGCTGGAGAGTTTTAAAGATTGACAGATTAGAGCCATCAGAGCTAACTATTCATGAAGATTCTACAACATATTCCGAAGTTGAATGCTATGAACTCCTGAAAAGAATACATGAAGGAAACAGGGCAACTGGCGGACTTAAATTTTATACCACTTGCTATGGAATTGTTGGTATGTTCAGTGCCATGGATTTGAATTTTTTTTTGTTTTACATCTGTAAAGGAATCATATGGTTTGAAATAAAATTGATCTTTTCTCTTCTTTAGGTTTTGTAAAATTTTTGGGGCCCTATTACATGCTGCTAATCACAAAAAGAAGGAAGATCGGTACTATATGCGGTCATGCCGTGTATGCCATTACAAAGAGCGAGATGATCCCAATTCCTACATCTACAGTGCTATCCAATATGGCTTTTTCTAAAAATGAGAACAGGTCTTATGCCAATTCTACATGTAAAAATAAAATGTCAGCAGTGTTTGTGAGAAGACACTATTGTTATGTGTCTTATTTGTTGTATTTAGATAGTGATGTGATTCAGTCAGTGCCCTCAGTGGTCTATATTTTCTTTACATTTCTTTATATACTTTCTCAGTGGATGACAACAATTTTTTTCGGTCTTTAAGAAATCCTGGATGTTGAGATAATCTTTATACATGTGGATACAACCTTCAGTATAACAATGTTGTAGATTTGACAGAGGAGCCATCCATGTGATGCTTAAATATAGAGAACATTATGCAAAATATCCCGGTAGTAAAACTATTTATAGAACCTTGGAAGTTTCTTTCTGGCAAGTGTACAGGGGCCATCCACACTGTTGTCCTGATGTTAATTTTTCATGTTGTATCAGACAAGGTATCACCAAGGTTCCAGGGGGATTGTTTTTCTCTTCTGATTTATGCTAGATTCTACTTTTACTGTTCTCTTTTTTTAGAATATTACACCATATTCACTTTCATTTTCTTTTCATTTCTCCATTCTTTCTTTATTGTGATAGGTACAAGAAACTATTACGCACAGTGGACCTCACAAAGGACTTCTTTTTCAGCTATTCATATCTTATTATGCTTAGTCTTCAGAAAAACTTAAGCAATCATGAATCGGAACTTGTTCTTTATGAAACAATGTTCGTATGGAATGAGTTCTTGACTCGTGGGATCCGCAATCAGCTCAGGAATACTATGTGGACTGTGGCTTTAGTTTATGGATTCTTTAAAGAGGTACTTGGTTATTTGGGAATTTAGGTCAAAATTTCTATTTACCTCCCTTCTTTGAAGTCCATAAATTTCATTTGATCCAATCTTGTTTTGTCATTCTTTGCTATTTTCCTTGTGATCAGCCTTCCCTCTGCATTATGATCCATTTAGACTATGAAGATCTGCTTCGGTTGTTATGTGTCGCGATCCCCTTAATCCTGACTTACCAAATTTTACTTCCAGGCCAAACTTCCAATTTGTGAGAAAAACTTCAAGTTGATCCTTATTGCGAGACGATCTCGTCACTATGCCGGAACTAGGTGTGCTTATATTCACCAAGTTGTTCCCAGTGGTTATAAAAACAGTGTTGAGTACATTAAGAATATATTACTGCATGTTAGTCTTCTCTGCTATAAAAATATTACACTTCAGTAATTCTTTTAAATTCTTTTTGTCCTAGATATTTGAAGAGAGGTGTAAATGAGAAGGGTAGAGTAGCCAATGATGTGGAGACAGAACAAATTGTGGTCGAAGATGTTCCTGAAGGGTGTCCAGTACACATTAGCTCTGTTGTGCAGAACCGTGGGTCAATACCTCTTTTCTGGTCACAGGAAACTTCAAGACTGAATATTAAGCCTGATATTATATGTGAGTTAACTAAATACTTGAACGCTATCATTAGTGTACGTACTTTCCATAGTCCACTAACCCTCTCTGTCTATAGTGTCAAGGAAGGACCCTATGTATGAAGCTACCCAGCTTCACTTTGAGAACCTAGTCAAGAGATATGGAAATCCAATTATCATATTGAATCTTATCAAGGTAAACAAATTAATTGACCCAAGGACTAATTTTTTGTATTTTTTCCGTAAACTATTCTAACCTTTTCTAGTGTGCAAAACAGACCCGTGAGAAGAAGCCCAGAGAATCTATTTTGCGTGCAGAATTTGCTAATGCTATTGATTGTATCAATAAAAAGCTCTCCGAGGAAAACCATTTGAAGTTTCTTCACTGGGACCTAAATAAATTCACAAAAAAGTTAGTTTTATTCTCCTTTTCTATTTACTGTTTATATTTAGTCTGAAGAATCATCTGTGAGAATTGTCTCTCTCTTTTCAACAGCAAAGCTACAAATGTATTGATGGCTTTAGGCAAGGTGGCTGCTAATGCATTGGAATTAACTGGCTTCTTTTACTGTCATGTAAATCCATCTTCAAGGACAGCAGAATTGTTGAATTTCCCATATGCAAGGTAATTTTAAAATGCTATGTCTTTATTTTCTAGTTTCTCTCTCATATTATTAGTGTAAATTATGTATTTATCTTGATTATATGCTGTATTTTTAACTTGTAGTTAATTAATTTCAAATTAGATTGATATCCAAGGCACTAGGTTGGCTGTTTTTGGATAATATTGTGTCCTGTCTTCTTAGTAGTTCTTTTTTGGTTTACGCAACTTTTCTTCACTGCATTAATAGTTACTAAAAAAAGTGGCATGTTTACATCATTCCTCCCTGCATTTTAATTATGTTTGTATTTATCATTGATTTCCTCCCATAATCAACTATATGACACAGTAACAAGTGCAAACAAGACGGCTCCGAGGAAGATCTTCATAATGTTGCTGTGAACACTCATTGTGTTGAAAGTGGACTAAACTACAATAAAGACGATTCACATGGAATTCTATCCACCAAGTGCCCAAACTTCCAAAGAGGGGTCCTAAGAACAAACTGCATTGACTGTCTAGATCGTACCAATGTTGCTCAATTTGTATATGGGCTTGTTGCTATGGGCCATCAACTGCATGCTTTGGGCTTTATAGATGTGGAAAATATAGATTTGGATTCTCCTTTGGCAGATGCTTTAATGAAGATATATGAATCAATGGGAGACACTCTTGCGCTACAGTATGGTGGATCAGCTGCACACAACAAGGTGACCTTATTCTCAATTAAGAATTTCATACTTCAAAGATTTAATGACGATATCAGAATTTGTCAACTAAACTCTGAAGTCATTCAATAGTTTCTTCCAATGTTCAGCTTTCATCTCGAAATTGGGAATTCTTTGAGTTTCTGTTACATGTTATGATGTTCATACCAGAGTGGAAATGGTGTCATCCAACTGAATTTTCTTTCAATTTTATCCGCGGTCAACTTTTTGCTTTACTCCCTCTGTCCCACTTTATATCCCACTTTATATGTTGTACTTAGCAGGGGGCCCCTCGCTTGGTCCTTCACAATGTTCACGAGCCAATGTAATTCGACTCTTCTCGGGAAGAAGCTTACATTTAAAACAATTTGAGGGAACTAGTGTTTAGTGAGTAATGTCATGCAATTTATCTCCTCCACCAATTTTCTAGGGACAAGGGAGATTGGGGCCCTTCGGTTTGGGTTTCAAACCTATTGATTGTCTTTCCTTTTTGGAATGTCCCTAAATAGTGCTCACTTTTTCCCAAATTGACCACCACTCTCTCCTTTTCCTAATTCGCTCTTTCTTTCTATTTCTTTCTAAAAATGATTTGAAACAATTGGTACCCTCTTGGGGGACAATTTGGTAAAGTCAGCTATGTTTTACTTCTTTTAATAAAAACCTTTACAATAGAAAAATGGCATTATATTTTGAGACTTAGAAGATATCATGTGTGGTTGCTAAAGTGGCTGTCTTTCTTGCAATCCTTCAGAATGCAGAACTTGTAATCTGGAGTACTGATTAGTTTGAATCTAAACAGATATTTTCTGAAAGAAGAGGTCAGTGGAAAGCGGCAACACAGTCACAAGAGTTTTTTAGGACACTTCAGCGGTACTATAGTAATGCTTATATGGACGCTGAGAAACAAGCTGCCATTAATGTGTATGTGTATTGACAAGATTCTGAAAGTAATGTGTTATCTGTTATGAATCATTTTCACAAAATCATATTAATCTGCCACAGGTTCTTGGGGCATTTCCAGCCACATGAGGGTAAACCAGCATTATGGGAATTGGACTCTGATCAGCATTATAGTGCTGGAAAGCACGGTGTATCTATTCACAAAATCAGGTATCTCTTTAACAATTAAGATGTACGTATGTGACTATGTGTGTTTATATACATACATGTCCTATATTGGGAAACTCTATAATGTTGAATTGGTATGAACATGTGGTGCCACAATTAGCCACATGCTTTATAAAGATGCACCTGCATGCTTTTCAATATGTACAAAAAGAAAGTAAAACCGTGTAAAGTGTAAAGAAGTCGGATGTGAAGACCATGTAAAATGGCACACTTGGCCGTTCCCAAGTTGCATGAGGGCAATGGCTAGTTTTAAGTGAACAATTTTATTCATTGAAACTCATCTATATTAAACTTATAAGCCGCTTTGAAATTTCAAAAGTTACATCTACAAATTTTTAACTTTGAAGTTGTGCTTGATATATAACATCAGACAACCTTCAAGAAAATCATCTCCAATCTTGTTACGAAGTGTTGACTTTCACATGCTTCATAGATGCTCGATCTGTTGGAAACAAGTAAAGTTAAAATACGATGGATCAATGTTCTTATCATCACACAAACATTTGATCTACCCCCTTCATATCTAATACGATAGTATATGGTACACTAATAAAGTGTAGAAAGTTTAGAATTCTCAATCACGTTATGCCTGTAAAGAATTCACTCATACTCCAAAGTAACAATGTTGTGGATTATGAAGTCATCAGGGTAGAACTTTCTTACAAGCTTGCAAATACCATCACTCATGTGAATGCTTCAAAATATGTTTTGTATCTAAGACGACACCGAGGGGATGGAGTTCTGTGGGCATATCATGAAACCTTAGGTTCAATTGGTCTGAGAATACACAATTACATAAAGTTTAAGACCATATATGAGAGTAGAATTTGACAGACCTGGGTTGAAGCGCAACTCAGGCCTTACTTGAATCTGCCCTTGAAGCAAAATATGCAGGATCATTAAATCAGTTGATTTCTCACTGCTGTGTGCTTTATTTTATAATTCTTCATTAAGAAAATATGCCTGTCATATATAGACGTTTACAAAAATCAGATTCGATTGAAATGAGTCACCCATCAAGTACATAGAATTAGTTAAACAACCAAGTAAATTCAAAAAAATGTAAGCAGTTATCATTATTTATAAGAGTTGTACCATAATCCTGATCAAGAGAGACTTCTTGTAGTAGGAGGTAGTAAATTTTAGGCACTATGAGGCAATAATTTGTATCTTGCTCTGTTCTTAGGTCAAGAATCAAAAGGTCATTCTCAGATGGAAATATTATCTGTCCAAGTGACTTGCCTGTTGAAGATAACAATATTGAACAGAGAGAAGTTTGTGAGCCTCCATTGCCTAGTAAAAAGCAAGTCAATGATAGTGCAGTGCCAGAGTTTACACCAGAAACCTCAACTTGTGAAAGCACTATGTCATATTCCAGGTCACTTTACTTCTTTATTTTGTAGATGTCACATGAATTGTATCTTTAGAATCACATGCTTTACTCAGAGAAGTTAAAACTGAACATGCTTCATGTACTCTACACACCACCTAAGACATCATACTTAAGCCAACTACCATTCCGTATAACGTCCTAACAATATTTCTCTATAAATTTGGACATTCTCAAAGAGAGGATTGTTACTTGTAGGTTTGGATTACTTGTTCACCTCAGAACAATACACTAAACTAGTTGCACTGTCCTTCGTATGCAGGTACACCCCCACTATGTCTGGTAGGGTACTTTTTGCTGAAACCCAACATGAGCAGGCACTTGAACGTGGAGATTCCAATTTCTCGAACTTTGTAGATGTTGAATGGCTTTCTTCATCTGGTAATTCATGTGAAGAAGAGACATATGAAAGGTTTTTACCTCCTCTCCTGCAGTATCTTTTTATGACAACAATACTTGCTATTAAAGAAGAATCAATCAGACTTTCATATTCTTGCAGATCTTTAATCATTGGTTCTCCATCAAGTGGCCAGTCATTGGATGGCATTGCATGTGTATCAAAAGCAGAAACATGCCTTTCAGCTTATGATTCTGGGCTTAGCCTTAAGGTATGAATGGATTGGTCCTTATTTTAGGCTTAACTATGCTTTTCTTCCTTGCAAATAGCGATGTTCTTTTGAGGGCCTTCTGAAATTATGTTTTTGTTATTCAAATAAGGAATTTTTTGCCTTTTTTAGTCAGTCAATCTCTTTTCAGAAGAAAAACATTGACATGGTTCACGTAAGTGACATAACTTGCTTTTCCACTTCAACTTTTCTAACTTAGGTAACTATTTGGGGAGCTAGGGCTATAATAAAACTCACCATTTGCTACTTTCAATTTATGCATGTCTCGGAATATATATTACTTCCTCTGGTTTTTTAGTTGTTGCAACATTGTGATTTTTGCATTACTCACACATTTACTTTGACTATGATTTTCAACTAATATACATAATCAAATTATTATGTATAAAATATTATTTAATTCCTATTAATGTGATTTTCCAAAATATCAACTTTTTATAATATTTATTAATACATAATTAAATATAATTACAGTCAAAGTTGCGTGTTGGCAAACATGAAAGTTAAACTGTTGCAACTATTAAAGAACGGAGGATAGTATTAAATATTCTTTAAAAAGAGATGCGGAAAAGCTATGCTGGAATTTTGTGTACCATTGAAGGAATTGGACAGAGATACCTTAAAATGGAAAACGGGAAAAGGTACAAATATACCCCTGCAATATGGGTGTGAGAACAAATATACCCATGTTCTATTATTCGGAACAAATATACCCCTAAAGTATATGTGGAAGTGCATATATACCCTTGAACTTTTAATAGGTGCACAAATACCCCTCATATTCTTATAAAAGAGCAAATTTACCCTTATTGACTTGAAATTGATAAAATAAATTTCAAAAAACACCAAAAATAAATTTTAAATTTGAATTTAAAAAATAAAAATTTTATAAATGTACTTGTGTCCAATTCTCCCTTTTATTGTTTGTATATCACAATTTAATATTGTTAGTCTAAAATATTACTTCAAAACTTTCCTATATATTCAAGATTGTTTCGAAAAAGTGTTAACAAATGTTTTGCAATGTAAAAAAAATTAATTTTTTGCATTCTTTGCACTATAAAATTACATATTTTGTATGATGATAAATAGACCAAGATTAAAAAATAGTGAATTTAATTTTATTAAGGTTAACAAGATTAAAGAATGTTAATTCAAAAAACGTATCAATGTGTCAAAATTTCGCAACAAGACTAATTCAAATTAATGAATTTGAAGTGCTTCATTTACAATGGAAAAATAATAATTTTGCAATTTAAAATTAATTTGTAAAATTAATATTCGAATTTTATGTTAATATTTTAACATAATACTATCCTCCGTATCTCATTAATTGCAACATTGGAATATATATACTATTCATGTACTTTACTTTGATTACATTTTATTTATTAATGTATTTGAATTATTTTTTTTGAAAAATGTTGTTAAATTCGTCTCATTACTAAGTTTTATAATCTGATTTTTATTTTATTTTTACTAATACAGAATTAAATATAATGACGGTCAAAGTTGTGCGTTCGCAAACGTGAAATGTTGACTGTTGCAACTAAAAAGAGACGGAGGAAGTAATAGATATTTATTTTTATATTTCGAATTGATTTATTTTTGGTGTTTTTTGAAATTTATTTTATCTTTTTAAAATCAATAAGGTTAAATTTGCTCCTTTATAAGAACCTGAGGGGTATCTTTGCACTTTTTTAAAAGTTCAGGGGTATATATGTACTTCAACATGTACTTTAGGGGCATATTTGTTCTGAAAAATAGAACCTGGATATATTTGTTCTGACACCATACTACAGGGGTACATTTGTACTTTTTTCCCAACGAAAAACTGTAAATGGAAGAACGAATAACAAAAAATCTGTCAAAGACTTGAAACGAAAGAGTGATATGATATATCTGTAGGGACAAAAAGCATATTAATCAATCTTTTACAATATACTGCTCTCCACTCGGATTTGACCACGGAATTAAATATCCAACAGACTAATGGAGATTGCATACATTATGACGTGGCGCAAGAAAACCTACCACTGGGTGAATTTTCTGAAAAATTTGTGCACTGGGTTACGTTTGGAGACATGCTTTTCCCTTGAAGTTGAAGTTGGATGGATTCCATACAGGTTACATTCGTGTAATATCATAACAATTCGGTCAACCCGTCCGAAGGATGTGGTTTACTCACAGTAATAAAACTTACCGGCTATCAGGGTTTTAGAAAAGGCGAGAAAAATGCTTTGTGATTTTGGTTATAGTCAAATAGGCCAAAGGAAACACCACTGTAAATATTATTTACTTCATATTCTTTCTGGGACCATGTTCCAATACTTAATATTACAGATCTTGTACATAGACGAGTTCTTTGATGATAAACTACCATTTCGGCTTTCATTTCTTCTCCAGTGTAAACTGATAGTATTACGCATTGTGGTCAGTTGGCTGGGTGGTGGGGTGGGGTGGTGGGGTGGGGCATTACTCTCGGGTGGGGTGTGTTAGGTAGGGCAGGAATGGTGGGGATAGGGTAGGGGTGGTAATGATTTTGAAGTAGGCGGTTTGTTTATACTAGTATATACTCCAATGTATGGCTTGAGGAATGACACTTTTTTTGTACAAATCTATCTAACAATATTGCTGTTCCATGTTATCAGTTGCTCCGTATTATTAGGGATGGATCCGGGCCAGGCCGGTTCCGGTTCTGGGTTGAGCCCGGACGGGCTTTTTTTTTTTCAAATTGTTGGGCCCGGAACCGGCTCGGGTTGATACCGGGTCTGTGCCTAACTGGGCTGGGCCGGGCCTTTTCAAGGTAATTTTGTTTAGTTTCTAATTAACCCCTGACCCCCCCCCCCCCTTACCCCACCCCTCCAACCCCCCCAAACATCCAGCCCTAACCAAGAAAAACAAAAAAAAAATTGAAAAAACCCGAAAAAAATTAAAAAAGCCCGGGCCCGACCCGAACCGCCCGGGCCGGTTCAACATATATAGGGTCCGAGCCTGGCCCGCCCAACCCTCCCCAACCGGGTAAAAGCTCGGGCCGGGTTAGCACCAACCGATCCGGTCCGGGCCGAATCGGTTGGGTCCACCCCTACGTATTATTATTATGAAAGAAAAAAATATGGTGACATAGACCAATTCTTGAGTTTGCCTGCTAGAGAGATTGTAAGAAAGTGATCATATTTGGCATTTCTTGTCGGATCAAGTTGATCTTTTTTAATGTCCATTGAAATATATGAGTTTTGTCCATGGTGTATGCTACGGTACCTAAAAAAATGAGGATATCATACCTATCATTCATTTGATTAGTCCAAGTAATTACTTCCACATTTATTTAGTTTTAAAGCATTTTACATTGTATTATTCTAATTGGTTGTGGACATGCTATACTAATGTAATTATATAAGGATTACTATGTAATTTCCTACATTGATATTAGTATAAATAATAACGTCAAGACACCCAATAGGGCAAGTCATTATTTCGGTATTTCCCAAAATTATTGTTTTGTATATGGTATGAGACGCCTAGGTATTTGTTTTTCAAAAACATGTACGGCCTTCCAAACCCTATGACCATCTCCAGCACGGTGCCCGCCATGGCGGCGCAGCCTCCCACCGGCGTCACTCCTACACCTGCCACTGCGCTCACCAGTGACTTCCAGCCTCAGTCTGGTTCGAGCAGCACGTCATCGTCGTCCCAGCAGGTCTCCACGCAGTTCGGATTTCCCCCAGCCGCGCAGACCCGTTCTCCGCTTGCGGCTTCACTCTCGCAGTCTATGGAATTCCTCCGCTTGACTCCTACCGGTTGTTCAACATGCCCGAGCCCTTTACATGGGCGCCCTTCGTCACTGCAGCTCCAACAATCAGTCTTCCACTGCCTCCAGTTTTTCAGGATCATGGCAGTCCGTCTCCTCTTTTTTCCGGCCCCACGTTTTGTGGATAGCCCGGGTGGCTCCGCTTCCGCATGCTACGTCCTCCTCACTGCCAGGTTTTAATTCTCCAGCAAGTTTTTTTTATCTTCCTTGGCTTCACAATTGGCTTTTTCTACCTTGAATGTGAACAATATTATGACTACCCGCTTATCATCGGTTGAAGATTATTTGCCTTGGAGAACTCAGTTTGAATCATTTTTAGTCTCTCACAGTTTAATGGGTATCCTAGATGGCTCTATTCAGACACCATCTTCTACTATGTATGATTTGTCCAGACAGGAAGTACCCAATCCTGACTATCACCACTGCTAAAAATGGATCAAACTGTATGTTCATGGCTTTTTGCTACCCTTGCTACTTGCTAGAGATGTTTTAATGAAAGTCTATGACCTAAAATTTTCTCAGCTTATTTGGGATAGACTCCAGAAACGGTTCATGTCTGCTTGTATATCTCGTTCCATTGAGCTTAAACGTTTATTATCTCATGTGAAAAAGGACTCCCAGACTATGGAGTATGGTCCAGTATTTGCTTGAAATTAAGATTTTAGCAGATTCTCTAGCCGCCATTAATTCTCCTGTGAATGCTCGTGATTTGATTGAATATGCTATTATTGGCTTGGGTCGTGGTTATGAGTCTCTCATCACTACCATTGACTACATGCCGGGGATCCCTACACTTGAAGACATACGAGACATTCTACTGGCCCAGGAGCAGCGTAATCTTTTTCTCCAAGCATAGGAATAGGCCCCGGTTCATCAGGCCTTTGCTGCTCCCCATGCAGGCCGAGGGGGTGCTCCATGTGTGGTGGGGGGGGGGGGGGGTGCTCCGAGGGGTCCTGCCGTCCTGGTGGCGGTAGAGGACAACACGGGGGTCGCGCTCGAGGGGGTCGAGGCTGAGGAGGCCGAGGGGGCCGAGGCTGAGGAGGCCGAGGGGGCTACTACCAGCAGCCATATGGAGCCGCAGCACCACAGCCGCACGGTGCATACTAGGGTCAGCCCGCTCCACCGCAACCGACGGCACCTTCATTCCCCGGTGTACCAGGTTCGGCGTCGTGTAATATTATTCATGGTGGTAATTGTACTAATTATTATTCTACTTCTGCTATTTCCTATTTATCCCTTTTCATTTTCATGCTTCTTGATTAGCATGTTGAAGTCTAAACTTGTAAATCATATTACTTTTTTCTCCTCCACAACCTATACAAACTTCAGGCATATGATTTTGAGTATCTTATTCCATTTCGTAAACTTGTCAAACAATGATGGGTCCAAGGGATTGCATTTCAATTAATAATAAAGATGATCCTCGCATTGTGACGAAGGGTTTTTTGTCTTTCCAATTAGCTCTCCTTTGTATTACCCCCAACTCTAGGGATGGAACGGGTCCCGACCGGCACGGTCTTGGGTAACCGGTTCCGGGCCTAGGCCCAGCTCGGGGATTGGGGCAGGTTGGGTACGTGCCTTCAATTTAGTGAACCGGCCCGGCCCGATTCGGGCCTTTTTTTTTTGTTTTTTTGGGTTTGGGCTGGGTTTAGTTGGGCTGGGTTTAGTTGGGCTGGGTTGGGTATTTCTAAGGGGGTTGGGGGTGAAATTAATAAGAAATAAAAAAAAATGAACCGGAACCGGCCGGGCCCAGGCTCGAACCGGAACCGGCCCAGCCCGGGTCCATCCATACCCAACTCTAATGTGATACCATTAGAATCGGGACATCACAATGTCATTTTTAATAATATGTTATGTGCTGCTAGCCGATTGTATGGAGGACAATTTTGATATTATTCATTTATCCGGACACTTTTTTTAGCATTAGAGATTCATTTATTTACAAGCATCATTGTGTTTTGATATAAGAGTGTTTGTGTTTTCAACTAGTATAATGGCTTGTTTAAACACATGGGTGTTTAACAATGGCTTAAAAAGTATTTTTCTGCTAGGTTAATGGGTTGAAATAGTTGAGATAACTTTCGGTAAATGGCTATGCAGTCGGGTTTTTAGAACTGTTCGGCTCCGGATCCAATATTAGTATTACATGTAATCGTGACTATGGAAATTGGTTGTGTTCCCTGGTTATTTCTTGAGCCCAGTCTATTAAAAGAATATAAAAAGTCAATGACTGAAACAGAATGATTCTAGATTTATTTTGGAGGAAGCAAAACCAATTAGATGGTTTTGCACATCCGGTCCAGCCTTGTTATGGACTTCGGGTTAAGAATACTCATGAGATTTCTGAGATGATGAAATCAAAATGTTTCAAGTAATAAAATAATGTATGCATTGACAATGAAGTATGAGATCACCGAAAGTGAGATACTGAGATTAAAGTATGATCGTACGGGTTCTGGCAGGGAGTTCTGTTAGCCTCAGAGAAGCAAAGGCAGAAGGCCTTCTGTTAACTCGTAGAACCAGTACTGCTGAACACAGATACCAAGTCCAAGGAGTTATACAGTTCTATCTAAGTGCAAGTATTAAAAGCAGTAAGTAAGCGACACCAGGGATTTTTATAGTGGTTCAAGGAACAACTCGTTCCTCTAATCCACTGTTCCACTAAGCTGTAAAAACTGCCGTTTACAAAGCCTTAGTCCTAGCACTTAAGAAGCACTCCACGTCTTCTTCAAGTCTAGATGTGTCCTGGGATGCACTGCCTGGCTTCCTTTAACACTGGTCCTTTCACTGAGTCTCTTTGAAGTATCACCACTTCACTACTCCAGTTATTTGGACGTCCTTCTTATAGCAAGAAGAGTTTCTGTTGAAACTGAGGTTCCTCCAACTAGCTTCGTTACAAAATATGTGTATGTGAAGAGCTTGAAGAGTTGAAGAACACTTGGAACTTTGCTTGAGTTGGAAAGAGTATTTTTCCAACTTCTGCCTTCTCTTGTAGAGGATAGTGAGTTTGAATCTCAAGGAGGCTTTTGCTTTTCAGAGTTTGAATATCTTGCTTGGTTAGCAATATGATAGCAAGGTTAGGGCAAAGTTGCAAAGTTATCCGGTTGTTCTTCGTAGTGTATCTTTTATACTGAGGTTGTCTTCCCGTTGGAGGAGTAGGAGGACAACTGCATTAAATGAGCGGTCAGTTGACTTGACTAGTAGAGCCCGGTAAGGTTGGCGGGTTACTATTTTGGGATAAAGTATTCCTGACATTCCGGCCAATCATCTGCAATTACTCTACGTAGCATGGAGTGCATTAAATGAGCATTCAATGCATGCACTGTAGCTTTTCCGTTTTATACTCCTAGCCATTGAAGGAATCTTTAAGTTGACTTCCCGGTTCTTTGAAAATCTTCTAAGTGTCAGACCTTCTGGTGTCTTTGTCAGAGAGTAGAACAGAGGAGGTCTGGAGCACTTCTGTTGGGAGTATCCAACAGAGACCCAGAAGGGTTTCTGTCAGAATCAATACTAACAGAGGTCCTGAGGACTTCTGTTAAGGAGCAGAGAACCAAAGGTCCTCTGTTTCACTAAAGCCTTAAGAGGCACTTCTGCTCTGGGAGCCCTTCTGTTCTGGAAGCACTTCTGCTC